TTTTTTTTTTTTGGTACCGGGGATCGAACTTGGGTCCTTGTGCTTGCGCAGCAGGCGGCAAAACCACTGAGCTAAATCCCCGGCCCATGGTAAGCTGTTTTATATTTTGTTATTTGTTTTGAAGTCTCTGTTGGATTCAAAATGATTGGGAAAACACTCAGTAGGATACTTTCAGGTGGTGGGTTCTTTTTAGTAATTTATCCTGGTATAATCTAGATCACTCAATCAATCAATCAGTCAGTCAATCAATCATCTCTCTCTCTCTTTAACATTGGGTCTTTCCAATTCAGAAAAGTAAGGAAAGAGACAAATAATTTTGTAGAGTTTAAGCCCCTGTTACCCATAACAGTCCCCAAAGTGTCAGAGGAGCTAGGAAGCCTCTTTTTACTTTAACACATATTTTTGAACACTTCCTGCTTTTACCATTCTTACTGCCCTTCTTTGATGTAGGTTTCTACAGGGGAGCTGTAATAGCTTACTACTTAGTTGCATTTGGCTCCAGGCCTCCCTCTCCTCTCTGTGTGGATAAGGATATATGTAAGTATTTATCTGTATGTATATATATATGTGTGGGTATAGGAATATAGGTAGTTATATCAATGAATCATTCACAAAGTTAACTGAGGATTAAGTTGTTTGCTTTTTAAGATCAAACTCTTTTCTTGACAAGAAAGGGTATCCCAATTTCATATTCAAATCCCACTTTCTAGCTAAGATGTATGATTCATTTCTCCATGACCATATCTGTACCTCCTGTTCCCAGTACCTTTCTTTATGTTCTGTTTTCCCTGGCTTCTTCTCCTATCTTACCTTTCAAAATACTAACCACCTTCCAAGAATCAGGCTTTATGACTTTTTTCCTGATTAGATCTTGCAGAAACACTTTCTTCTTACTCCAAATTACCAAGGCCCTTCTTTACCTACGTCCTAGATTTTTACCATACTTTTCTTATCCTTGCAGCTGGACTTTACTAAACAAATGACAGGGACTATGTCTCATCATCTTTGAATCTCTCATAACAAGACCAAATAAGAGCTATCAACAGCAGCTATCAGGAGCTTGGTTTATTTGTTTTGTTTTGTTGAGGTGCTGGAGATTAAACCCAGGGCTTTCATACTGAGCTATACTCCCAGTCCTTTTTATATTTTTTATTTTGAGGTAGGGCCTAGCCAAGTCACTAAATTGCCCAGGCTGAGCTCTAACTTGAAATCCTCCTGTCTCAGCCTCGGAGTTCTGATTAAAAAACAAAAAAAGCTCTTGACACTCTTGCATGTAAGAGTTCTTGATGTGGCATGACTACTAAGCACTAAAACAGCCTTTTAGATAATATACTGTATCAGTTTGAATGCCTAGAAGACAGCAAATTTATCATAGAAGCTCTCATTCTAGAACTATTACCTGAACTGCTCCTTTAATAAGTGAAGAAATTCCTTTATTTCATTCATATGACTGAAGCTAGGAAGGTGTGCTCCAAGTGCTTGGCAGAATCTTTCAGCTTCTTCCCAGTTCCTTTTTCTCATAACTCTTTCTATATGAAATACCTTAACAAAACAGAATGTTGATTTGTTTTCTGCAATAATCATAAGGCATAGTTTTAAAGTCAATGATAGTCAAATGTGTCAGCCCTTAGAACCATTGCTTATGCATGTAATGAAGGCAAAGGTAAATGCACATATATACTTAGATGCAAATGTGTCCTGCTCACAGTGTGACTGAAGGGCTGCACAGGTGTCCCACTGTTGTCGGATGGATGGCCTTCTGAAGCCAGATTGTGGAACTGCTCCAGCAAGTCACCATGTTTTTGTGCATTTCTCGGACCTCTGAAGGTAAAATGAACTCAAGCCAAGGCTGTAAAGGTTATATGTGAATGCTACCGGAGTAGACATCTTCAAAGAAACATGCTAATAATATAATTTTGAACACAAGATAGGGATACCTGCACTAAAACAGAACTATTTTCAGGTGAAGAAAATCAAAGAGCAGTCGCCACTGATGTGTAACACTAACAGAAGGAGGCAAAATAAAACCTGCCACTTCAGACGGTTTCTTTGATTTGGGATGATTAATTTTAGGCCAAAGGAACCAGAGCTATTTTAAATAAGAGGAGCAAGGGAAGGACTAGGAGAAGATGGCATGACAGTAGGGTGATTGTTGGTTCCAGTTCTTCAGTTCCCCGTAATATAATTACACATTCTCACCATGGCCTCTTCCTGGGTCAAGTATATTTCTGTATCATTTTTTTTTTGGTACTGGGGATCAAACTTGGAAATTTGTGCTTTCAAGGCAGGTGGCAGAACCACTGAGCTAAATCCCCGGCCCATATTTCTGTGTCTTGATGTAGGGCTTGGCTTGGCTTGGAAATAGGACAAACAACGGAGGAAAGACAGGAAACACAAACTAGGATAATAGAAAAATAACTCCGTTAAATAGTTGATGAGAAAGGTGATTTGATTGATTGGATATTAGTAGAGGTAAAAGTGAACAGAGGCCTGAAATGTGGTTGGACTTGCCTTCTCCAGCTTCTGAGAAGAATTTACTATGAGAAAAACAAGCTGTCAGGCAGGTGTGGTGGTACATGCCTATAATCATAGAACTCTGGGAGGCAGAGACAGGAGGACTTCAAGTTAGAGCTCAGCCTGGGCAATTTAGTGACTTAGTCAGACCTTGTCTCAAAATACAAAAATAAAAGAAAGGCTGGGAATATAGCTCAGAGTGAAGGCCCTGGTTCAATCTCCAGTACCTCATCAAAACAAAACAAATCAAAACAAAACAAAAGAAGACAAAACAAAACGAGCTCCCCATAGCTACTGCCCCATCAGCCTGAGACTTGAGCGAACAGAAACAGACCCCAAGTCATAACCTGGAGCCCAGCCAAACTGATTTGCAGCTGGATGCAGAGTTAACCATTCAAATGTGATCAGTTAAACCCTCACTGACCTGGAGATCTGTGAACTTCAGGTTCAACATCTTCCCTCCTGAGATTTGGGGTGGTATTTAATGGTTTTTTGTGGGATTACCTGACTGATACAAACTTCAAATTACATTTTTTTGCATAATAAGAAGCAATGACACTCTTAATTTGGCAATAATCATTAGAAGGACATGAGAATCATTAGCATGGTGTCAGCATGGCATGCAGCTCACCCAACTTCCCAGAAGGAAAGAATCTGGGAAAGGGCCATTATTGACTCTGGTTCTGCTCTTGTAGGTGGGACACATGCAGGGTGTAGGGCTGAGCTGCCTGACGTAAGAAGTGCATGATACTCTGTCATGGACTGTCCCCCCAAACACTTGTTAGATTAAGTAGGACTATTGGAGGAGCATACTTTGTACAAGGACACCAGCTAGGATGGTAGAAAGATAACTCCATTGAAAGATTGAAATAGAATGCTACTTTACCTTATAACATGATAGACTGGAGGGGAAAGTATGCCAGCCTTGAGGACAGGGGCCATGAGGCTTGGGGGCTGCTTGTTCAGGTTCCAGGGGTCCACTTATTTTCTTGCAGATTGAAAGTGCTCTGAAGTTTCTACAGTCCTTCACTTCCCACTTGCCAAGAGACTTTCCAGTAGACATAGCCACACACCCACCTGAAGATGCTAGGGTTGAATTGGAAAGTTCCATTACAAATTAAAACTTTAAATTGAAGTTTCAACATTTTCTAGTGTTTGCTTCTTCTCTTTATTTGAACCAAGGTGGATAGAGAGAATAGGAAAAACAATGGAGGAAAGAAATACATTGTTCAGAATAACAATGATATGACTGGATTATAGAAAAATGTTTACTCCATGTCAGAAACTATTCTTAAGGGAATAAGTTAATTAATCCTTAGAACAGTATATAGGATGTTTTCTGTTGATATAATTAAGGTACAGTGAAGACTGACTTGTCCAAGTCACACAATTATGAAACAGTTAACCTAGTATTTGAACCCAAGTAGTCTGTTTCAAGGACAGTACCCCAGATCACTACATTGTTTAGGATGGTGGTACAAATTAACTTAACAACTTGGAACAGTTTTAAGCAATCTAGTAAACTTCAAAACAAAACCTTCCTAGATTCAGGTCCAAAGGAATGGCTGGCACAATAAGGGTTGAGGGAAGTATGTGGAAACATATATTTATTTATTATTTGTTTTATGGCAGTCATAGTTTTATCTGCTCACAACATGAAAAGGTAGTTTTGTGAGCCCGCTGCAGACAGGCAGGTCTGTGCACACCCTACTGAGGTCCCAAGTTGTGCGGAACACCAGGAAACAGCCTGCACCCCGGCAACAATCCACTGGACCCCCCGCCCCGCTCCTCTGTACAGCCACCTGGTTCCACACTACAAAGACGCAGAGGACACCGGACCACTAGGTCATGGTACTGAGTCCTGCTGCTCCTGGCCCAGAGGTAGGGACTTCTGAGCCACCATCCCACTGCTCCTGGAACAGAGGTAGGAGCTTCCTGGCCACCATCCCTCCCACTGCTCCCAGCCCACAGGAAAGGGCTTTTGGGCCACCATCCCTACTGCTGCTCCCGGCCCCTGGCCCACCTCTCCCAGCTCAGAGGAGGTAATCTGTGCAGGCGCCAACAGCCCCCCCACCCCCCGCCCCAGTCAACATGAGAAAACACATAAATAAGTCTCAAAACCAGACTTCCAGATCACCTACAGCA